GAGTTGTACTGGTGAGTTTTCTATAACAGATGGTGGTTGGAAGTATTCATAGACCTCCATTACCCTTACTAATTTTTAAGACAGATGATTCCTTTAAAGTAGTATCACACTGGGGAAATCTGGATAATATTGTTGGATTATATCAAGGTCAATACCCTAGTTGTGTATTATAGTTTTTCAAGATGCTACTATTGGAGGAAAATGGGTAAAGGGTACATTGGGTTTCTGTGTATTATTTATTACAACTTTGTACAAATTACAATTATGTTTATAAAACTTCCAGTCAAATAATTGTTATCACAAAGAATTATATTCCTTATCTCAGTTAGGTTGGTTTAGTAAGAAATGACTTTAAATGGGACTTAAAAGTATAGACTTTGAGCTGGTTTTACCTGGGACTTGAATCCTGGCTCTACCACTTTTTAATTGACCAAAGTTACTTAAACTCTCACAGTTTTGTCTTCCTCATTAAGTGAATGAGAATAATAACAGTAAGTACACCATAGAATTTTGAAGATTAAATGAGATAGAGCATGTAAATCACTTTCCCTGTGCTGGACATATAGGAAACACTGGAAAGGACTAGCTGCTGTGATTATCATTACCACTACTGTTACTTCTGTAAATAGAGCTAGAAATGAGCTTTCTATCATCTCTCAGCCTAGTTTCTAACTGGCCACTGGATATTTCGGCTTGTGTTTAGTAAAGGGCACTTTGAATTTTCATATCATTGTTTTACTTAAAACAAGTTAAGGAAAATTTTATCATTTGGAGCTAAATGATCATTGCTAATGAATGTAATATAATAAATTATTGGAATTAGTTACAGTAGATTTATGATCAAATTGTCCTGGGCACAAAACGAGAGAGAAGACGAAAGAAACTGAAACTAAATAAATATAATAGCAATACTCCAACAATACACCTCTGAAACATACAATTGTTTTTAGTTGCAGGGCTCCAGATTTTTCCTACCGAAAGTGTGTACACATGTGGTTTCCCCTGTTTTCTATCACTGAAGTCCATGTGATGCAATGGAAAAAGCCCTGGACGGGATAATTAGCAGTTCTGGACTCTAGATCCAGCTTGGTCATCCAGTGTAAACCCAGGCTTGCATCTTTTATCTTCTCTAGTCACCTGGTTCCATGTGAGGTTTGATTTAGATTAGTGATTTTCAAAGAGTAGTCCCTGCACCAGCAGCACCAGCTTCACTTCACATGGGGATTTGTTAGAAAAATACACTCTTAGGCCCCTACCTCAAATCTACTGATTCAGAGACTTTGAGGGTGGGGTTGAGCAATCTGTGTTTTAGCAAGCCCTCCAGATTCTGATGCACACTAAAATTTGAGCATCACTGCTCTGGATTATTTTAGTCTACATTTTAGATAGTTGGATCCAACCCCAGAGTTTCTGATTCATAGGTCTGGGGTGGAGCCCCATAATTTGCTTTTTTAAAATTCTCAGGTATGGCTGATGCTGCTAGTTAGGGACCGTACTTGGAGAACTACTAGGTGAGATCAACTCTAAACTCTGTTCCACATCTGAGTCTACTATTACTATTGCTCTCCCTATGCCTTCTGTTCCCCTCCTTATTTACTTTGACCCTCGTTTTAATGAAACTGCCTCTGAGCTAATAGCATTGAAAATGTCTAACATTTCCTACCTTGTAGAGGGTGATGGACAGAAAGGAACTTCCCTGAACTATTACAGCTTATGTTAATATGAAACCCCTATAGCTCCTTGGCATTAAAAAGGACCCTAGATAGTTTACTTAGTTTTCTCATGTACATAGCTAGTTACAAAGGAAATATCTTCAGGCACCAAGATTCAAGAATTATTAAGGTCTGATGCCTAATTGCCATTGATCCCTTATGATCTGAAGAGCTTGGGCACCGTGAAAATAAAATTATGTTTTCCTCCTAAGATGCTGCTTAATGAATAATTACATCTTCAAATGATCCCAGTAATCCCACCTCTTCTTTTTCACGGGTTTCTAGATACTTGGGATGGGATAATGCTCTGTGAGGTGTGGTATCTGCCGAGAACATGACAAGCCTCAGCCTGCCAAACTGAATTATTTGGTTGGCTCATGTTTTCTTTTTTGAATTAGAATTATGCGTAAGATCCACTGTTTCTTCTTTTATCAGTAAATTGATAATTTTCTAGTACTGAATATTCAAACTATATCAAAAAGAGAGCAAAGACCTAATGCTTACTGAGTGCCTATTATGTGCCACTCACTGTGCCACAAGCATTACTTTCCTTGTCTTTTAATCCTCACAATAACCATGTAAGGTAGTATCACTAACTTTGCTTTTTACGTGACAGAATAGACTCAGGAAGGTTAAATGAGTGTTCAAGATCACACAGCCAACAGAAGGGCAGTGTATAGATGTAAGCTCAGATTGTTTGGCAGTAAAGCCTTTGTAGGCAGAGTAGATAGTGAATAAATTATGTGTCGAATGGATGAAAGAATGACTAGATCGCATTATCTTCCTAATGTTGACTTTTAAACAACCATAGAATTATCAAGTTGCAAAGGGTGTATAGGTCATTATCTAATCAGGGTTTCAGTTTCACATGTCCTTTCAAGAATTTCTCACATGTAGGTGTGCAACCTTTACTTGACCACCTCTAGGGCAATGGCACACACACTCTCTTTTATCAGTGATTGTTGGATTACTCATTATTAGAAAATTCTTTGCATTAAACTTCCCTAAAATCTCTTTCTTTTGAATATAGTTCTGCCCATTGTAACGGCTCAGATTTAATCTGGTTCATCTTCCATATATCATTCCTTCAAACATTTGAATATAGCATATCTTTTCTATTCCAAGCTAAATGGCCTCCATTTTTTTCCAGCTATCACATAATAATAATAGCCATGGCTATTAAGGTGGCTCATTGGTTGGAGCATTGTCTCATGCACCAAACTTGCAGGTTTGATTCCTAGTCAAGGCACATGCCTAGGTTGTGGGTTCATTCCCTGGTGGGGTGTGTACGGGAGGCAATCAATTGGTGTTTTTTTTTTTATCACCTCTCTCTCTCTCTCTCTCTCTCTCTCTCTCTCTCTCTCTCTCAAACAGTGGAAGCATATCCTTGGGTGAGGATATAAATTAAACAAACAAATAAATAAAATGTAATAAATGTCTGTTAAATGACAGAAGGAAAGATTAAATAAATATGATACCTAGACTTCTCACTTTCTTGCTCCCCTTCTTTAGAGTGTGAAGCATCTGTGCTATGTGCTGGGAACGTGAGAGGACCATATTTCTAGGAGTAGATGAAATGATTTTCTTCTATATACTCTTGCACTGAACAATAGTCACCCACAAAGAATACCATGTTTTATTTTCTGACGTAGAACAGTGCCCTCAATGTTGACATCTCACATTTGCATCAGGTCACAATCAGCTGGAGTTGGAAGCAAACTTAGTGTTTTTCTTCAGGGTTAAAGGCAAGACCTGGGCACTAGGGGATCAGCTCCAATTTAAGCAGGCTAAGTTTGTACTCTAACGTACAAAACTTGGGCTTACCTCAGCTAAAATGGGAGAAATAGCTGCCTAAAGCTAGTTTCTTTCACGCCCCACTGGCAAGGTAGTAATTGCACAAAGACCTTTTTATTATAAGTTGATTTTCCTGAGAAATGAATTCAGAAAAATACTGTAAAGTGTTTATTTTTTGCCTGCCCTTTATTAACCCACATCATAGGGCTTTCCCTAGAGAAAAACTGTTGGTAAATGAAACCTCTTAGACCCACACAGAAGCATTTTGCACCATGTCCCTGGCTGTGGAGGGAACAAGGACAGGACAAGGCAAGTTAGTGCTATTTAAACAGGGTCACCAGCCAGTGTGTGGATTTCTGCCTGAAAAGAAGATTTAGGAATTTAAACAGGGGAAAGGTTTGGGGCTGGTAGAATTAGTGGTAACGGTTTATATCTTAAATAGAAATTAATGTAGCCTTTTTATGCTAGTAAGGAGGCCAAAAACCCCGTTTGAACTAAAAGATCATTTCTGTTAATACACCCTAGTTTTGATCTTTATATAACAAAAGTCCCGTAGTTCAACTTATAGAATCAGGCCCTGAAAGCCAGGACAAAACCTTCCTGTGATGCTCTCGAGAACCGGGGCAGCATGCCTGGAGGAAAGGAGGGAGCTGGGAAATTAAAGTGTGATTTCCACAGGCATGATTCTGTCATAGCTCTCACTTTCTTTATATGGAACACAAATACTGATATAGAGAGTGAAGATTTTCTATTTTGCATTTTTGTGCTCTTTGATACATTTATTGAGGTCAAATGAAATTTGATGTAGTAGGATTTATTATGAAATGCTCTCTGAATACAACTCCATAATTACTGAGCTACATGGTAGTGCATAAAGCTGTAAAACTGCTTAGCCAGACAAGCAATTTATATGTTACATCGAGGTGTGTATGGCAAAGAATATTAGTTTAATTGGGAGCCAAGATGTAGTAGCCTTAAATCTGAAGAGCTATATGTTTAACATAATGCAGTGAGGCTTTGAAATAAGATACCTAACTGGGGAGACACAGCTTTTGGAATACATAACAATTAGACATTATTTTCTGTCCAAGGATACTAAATACTGTTTTCAAAATAAAGCACAGAATGCAAAGCTGATGTAAGGGTAAAACCTTTAAACATTGTACAATGTAAGAAGCAACTTATTTCTTTGTTTTAAAAAAGGAAAGAAAATAAAGGAAAAATAAAGTTGAGATAAAAGAAAACCAGTGACTACAATTTAGTGGAAGCAGGGGTGAAGCAAATTCACAATGAGGTGATGTTCTTGCTGTGCTAATGGAATCTAAGAGAAGGGACTTGTGGAATGTGGCCCGACTTTTCTGAGGGAGCATATTTGGAATGAGGTTGGAGGTGGGTGGCTGTTTGGGTACCCACACACCACCAGGAGTGAAAAACAAATACTTCTTGGCGTACATTTGCTCTCTGTCTGATCATAGGCTCTCTTCTGTTTAGCAGGTTCAGGGTCACATGCCTCCGCTCATGATCCCAATTTTTCCACATGACCAGCGGACCCTGGCAGCAGCTGCTGCTGCCCAACAGGGATTCCTCTTCCCCCCTGGAATAACATACAAACCAGGTAAGTAGAGAGGAATTTAACATTCTTTTGGAAATGCTAAAATCCACATGTTTTTGCTTAGTAGTCACAACAAACACAGGAGCACATGAAAGAACTATGAGTACAAAGATCATGAAAGCTTATTTAAAAGTAAAATTAGAACTGGGAAGTTAATTGGGAAGGTGACATGTTAATAAAGTAATTGGTTGCTAAAAACTTTTACTTTCTCTTCTTCCACTTGATTTTTTTTTTTGTTCATAGATAAAATGCTACTTTCCTTGGGGGTGATTACACATTTTTATTAGCTCTGTCTCATACCTTTACTGTGAATAATTGTCTTTGGTTACCGATGCTTTCCTCCCCAAGAGCTTTTAAATTCTGGCTGAGTGGTCACGTACAGTATAAAATGTTGTTATTAGTTGTTGTATGATTTCTCTTGGAAGAAAAATTAAAACTGGATTGATTTAATTAACTTACCATTAATAGCTAAAATTCTTTTTGATGTTAGTCTAAATAATGAAACATTCAGTAGTATTTTCTCATTCATCTTGGAACCTCAAAAAACAGGTCACATAACCTTGCAGTGAAATATGTTTTGAGATGATTTAGCAAATGTTATGATTTTTCTTTATTCCTCTGAGTTTACTGGACTCCTAGGGAATTCAATTAGGGACACAGAATGGTTTGAAGGTTCTTTCAGAGCCTCCTTGTAAACAGGGCTTTAAATGTTTAAAGATATGTTGCCAAAGGAATCCAATGTAAGAAGATAGTCAAGTAAATAAAAGGCAACCTTAATTTCATTTGTGCATTCTTTGTAAGTGACCTCAGCTCAGAAGTAGTGACCTTGTTCTACTCATTAATAATTTCTGTGTCAAGTTCTTTTTAACATATTAACCTGCTTATATTAACCACCAAATCTGTGTGTAACAAATCTGAGTGCAGCAGTTTCTTTGTGTTTGGGGTTTACAAAGTGAACAAAGGTATTTTAATATGCTTAAAGCACTAATAAAATATAAATCACTCTACTAAAATGCTTGGTAAGAAAGTTTACTAAGTAGCATAAAAACAAACCTGGTGAATTTTGATAGTTATTTTAACTGTTTGTTGCTATTGATTACTCTTTTGCTCTTGGTCGAGTACACTCTTCCTTGTAAGGAAAGGTAAGATGTGTGTCAAAACTCAAAGGATTTAAAGAATAGAGATGTTAAGGGATTGGCTAATTTAAGGACTGACTTTGAAAATTCTTCAGATAAAAAAATGGCAATCCTTAGTATTAAAGGTTTCTGGGCACCTGAGTGAAAGACAGTTGTGGTATTCAGATTGCTAAAAATTGGTTTTTCTCGAGCAGAATTTTCAGAACAAGTTATATACCCTATGAAGTTGAGATTCATATTAAGGACAGGAGTATATTTTGTCAGAGAATATGTTTCTGTCAGTGCAGTGTTTCAGTCCTTCTCTGTTCTCTGTAAGTATTTCTGAACTGTTTCTTCATCTTGAGTATCTTTGGAATGTTGGTGTAAACTAAATTTACTGGTTTATCCTGATTCTGAGTTTGTCATCTCTCTACCAATCTTAGAATCCTTTTAAATGAACTATACGTGGAACTCTCTATTTAATTTCAGTGTTTTTAAATTTAAAACTCTCCACACTTCAAAATCAGGTATGAGCCTTACTTTCTACTAGACATAGATATCAACATAGTTAACATGTTGCCTAATTTTGTTAAAACAACGATGACATTTTTCATGAGGACAGATATTGTTATATAGTCAATGAAGTTGGACCATTTTTTAAAAGTCTTCTCATATAGCATCAATGAGATTATAATATGTAACTAAGAAGAACATAGAGATTTGGACAATATTGTACAGGCGTGAGTTACCTCCCTCGAACCGCATATGTGCAGCACAGTGTAGTGTTCTGGGGAAGCAAAGTTGTATTTGATTATTTTGGCTAAAGCGTTTTGGTTAAGGCAGGTCAGTAGATTTGGACATTAGGACAGTTTTTAATCCCAGGCAAGGCTGGTGATAAAAGTATTTTCTGGTGACTCCTAAGTTATGTCAGAGAAATTAATTAAGCAGAACTCTATATTCTTTAATTTGTTGGCTAATCTAGGCTTTACTGTATATAAAAATTATACTTAAAAAGATTTAAAGTTATATGTTCTTACACTATTAGTAGAGAAATTACATATTCAGGAGACTTAATCTATGCAGTGTTCTTGTCATTCACCTGAATTTGGGGAGGAGAATTCTGGACCAGAGTCTGAATTTGGACCAGAGTCTGGAGTAAGAAAACTTTTTTTGCTATAAACTGAGCTATGGTAATTTCACTTGAAATACACATGAGACAATGACTAAATTTTTAGAAGAGAGGAACTTTGTCACATATAAAAGCTGTGCAATGATCACATAACTTTATATTTTGATCCTCTAAGCAAGAGGCTGAGCAAACGCTACCTTGTTCTTCATAAATTACAAAATAAACTCTCTTTTTTCTCCTTTTCTACCTTCCCATAACCTAAAACAATTCCAGAGAGCTTATGCTGCCAGCTGATTGAATAATCGTCTTGATTGCTAGACAGCCAGGCCCTCCTTGGGGTGATATTCACAGTGGAAGTTGACTGTTTCTGAACCCATATTAGCACAGTCTAAACTAACATATTTAGGGCTCTGGGACTTGCCCTTCAGATGGTTTGCCCGTCGCTCTGGGCATTGCAGGGTTCCTGTGCACAGTGAGCAGCAAGCAAGCTCTCCCACCTCGCTGGCTTACTGAGGAGTGTTGCCCACAGGAATTGTGCATGTTGATGAACTTTCCCTGTATTCCTACTTTTCTGAGACTATTTTTCCTATCATGAACAGTTATTAGATCTTGTCAAATGCATCAATTGAGATGATCAAGTGGGGTTTTCCTCCTTTGTTCTATAAATATGATGTATTACACTGAGTCTTTTAGATGTTGAATCACTCTTGCATTCTTGGGATAAATATTACCTAGTCATAGTGAATAATACCTTTAATATGTTGTTGGATTCAATATGCTAATATTTTGTTGAGGAACTTTGTATCTATATTCATAAAGGATATTGGTCTGTTTTTTGTGTTTTTGTTTTCCTGTGATGTCTTTATCTGGATTTGGTATCAAGGTAATGTTGGTCTCATTACTGAATAGTTAGGAAGAGTTCTCTCTCTCTCTCTCTCTCTATCTCTTGTTGAAGACTTTGGGAAAGATTAGTGTTAATTTTTCTTGAATATTGAATAAAATTTACTGGTGAAGCCATCTGATTCAAGACTTATCTTTGTTGGGAGGTTTTGATTACTGATTCAATCTCTTTACCTGTTATAGTTATGTTGGTATTTTTTATTTTTTCTTGAATCCATTTAGGTAATTTGTATCTTTCAAGAATTTGTCTATTTCTTCTAGATTTTCTAATTTGTTGGTGTACAATTGTTATCTAATGCTTCTTTTTAATTCCTTTGTTTCATTTAGCATTTATTGAGCACCATTTATTTGTCTATAAACATAAATAATAAATTTTATATACTAGTAAATAAATGAAATAAGCATTTATATAAAATAATTATATAAATATAATATATATTCTAATTTAATTTTCATAAAAATTCTAAGATAAAAGTAGCATTATTTCTATTTTGTTAAAAGAAAAAAGAAAACAAAAGTCAAACAACCAAAGAACTTGTATTCATATACTAGTATTCATAACCCATGGACATAGACAATAGGGTAGTGAAGGCCTGGGGCAGGGGCAGGAAGGCTAGAATAGGTCAATGGGGGGAAAAGGGGTCAGATATAATACTTTCAACAATAAAGATTTAAAAATAAAAATAAAATAAAAGATGCTCCTTGAGAAAAAAGAAAATCAAACACATTGATTAACTTTTCTAAGCACTCCCATCTAGGAATTAGCAGAGATAGAATCCAGACTGGTTCTCTGATTTGATATTTTATGCTCTTGTGGACATGGTCTAAGTGTGGATGACATTAAGAAAAATCTGGTGTTTGCTTTTTCTGTAGGAAAAAATGTGATTTATATGTATGGGGTTAGCCAAATGACATCTTATAGAGCTGGGATTTCTACCGCTTCCAGAATTAAATCATAGGTGTGTAACCACTGTTGCTGGAATACTTGATTAAATCTATCTACTTGAAATTAAAGCATCTTAGTTTCTTCATATTAGTGTTCTAATTTTTAAATTAAAATGTTGCAGTCCAAGAAGAAAATATGTTCATCCATGTAAACTAACCTGGCTTCATGGAGATCATTTTAACTGTTCCTCCTTCATATATAGAGCCTATATATTGGTGAGCTAATATTAAGGCATAAACTGAGTGGTATTATAATTTCATTTCTTGCAATGGGGTGGATTTATATCAGTTCATCGACCCTCACTTATTTAATTGCTATTGTGACAAATTCCATGGATTTTTATATATTGGTCAGAGGAGTGGATGCATCTATGAAATAGGTAAAGAAATTAAGATTGATTCTTGATTCTTAGCTTCTTTGAAGGTATCAAAAACAATGCAGATAGCCTGGAAAGCATGGCTCAGTGGTTAAGTGTCGACCTATGAACCAGGAGTTTGTGGTTCAATTCCCTGGTCAGGGCACATCCCTGGGTTGCAGGCTTGATCCCCAGTGTGGGGCATGCAGGAGGCAGCCAATCAGTGATTCTCTCTCATCATTGATGTTTCTCTCTCTCTTTCCTTCTCCCTTCCTCTCTGAAATCAATAAAAACATATTTAAAAATAAACAAACAAACAACATGCAGATACTCTTAGGAAAACTCCTAAGACTCCTAAAACTCAAGACTCTTCTCATCATTGGTCTATTCCAGTGATGGTGAACCTATGACACGTGTGTCAGAGGTGACACGCGAACTCATTTTTTTGGTTGATATTTCTTTGTTAAATGGCATTTAAATATATAAAATAAATATCAAAAATATAACTCTTTGTTTTACTATGGTTGCAAATATCAAAAAATTTCTATATGTGACACGGCACCAGAGTTAAGTTAGGGTTTTTCAAAATGCTGACATGCCGAGCTCAAAAGGTTCGCCATCACTGGTCTATTATTTAATGAACAGAGAAGGAGCAGTTTTGCAGGAGAAATAAGAGCATGCTTGCCAATTTTTTTTGCCCAATTGTCCTCAGAACAGATGGAAGGTTTTATTCTATTTATAGAATTCTGAAAGTGTCACCCATTACCTGCTAACTTTTGCTGCGATGTGATGTTTCACAAAGATAAATTCAGATAGATTATGGCAATTTTTTAGAATATAGAGGAAGTGTAATATTTTGCTACTCTGAATACATACATCCAGGCAAGCTGCAAAGTGGTATGTCTAAGTCTACATTGATGATAGTGATTGAACTATTTCTATATTGTAGCAAGAATGACGATAGCTTATAAAAATGGAATCTATATATAAGTTATTTGGAAACTCAAGTAATTTGCCATAAACCTATGATGCCACCACAAATTAATCTGTGAGATAGTTAGGGTCGTGTAGTGAATTTTTCTTCTGTCTTGGAGTGTGTAGAGTAAGGTGTGAGACTTTGAGCCAATTAACTGAAGAATCTTTGAATCCTGTCTCCCAGTTTAATGTATCTTTCTTCTCTACTCCTCCCAAGCTCTTTAAATGATTTCCTCAATAGGTTAATATCTGAAGTGAATATCTCAGAAGACCACAACCATCCCAGTCCCTTGTCTTTCTGAAGAATCATACTAAATGGGCAGAATTTTACCTGTGGGATGACTCTTTAATGAAAGTGGAATTTCTATCTGAATTACACAAACTATGAGTATTCTTGTAGGAGGTAGACTGAGTCCTAGTTCCCCCTCCTCCTGTATTTAAGTCTTAATAAGTTTTGGCTTCATTTCAGTTTCCCTGAAAATTACACAATGTACTTTCTGTCATTCAGGGACTCTTGCTGTGGAGCTGCTTTGATTTCAAAGGAATGTTACCCAGTGTGACAAGTGAAACGAATGTTAGGCAAATGTCCCATAGGTTTTAAGTCCTGTTTCGTATTTGTACTGTAATCCTCAGGTAAAAATAGTCAGTTGGAAAATCTAGAAGGCTGGAGAGATGGATTTGCAGAATGGGCATTCTTTTCCAGACTATCTCTTGGAGGTTGTCTTCGTACACTAGAGGTGGCAGGAGCCAGAGTACGGCAGTGCCTAAAGCCAACCTGTTCCAACAGGCTTCATCTTCCTTTGTACAAATTTAAAAGAATGGGTGCTCACGCAAGCATTTCAAATCCAGAGACAAATTTGAAAAAAATTGCTACAACATGTTGACTGATTCCTTGCCAAGTCAGCCACTGAGAACTTTTTCTTGATCAACTCTTACACAGAGGAAACAAAAGGGGGTTGGGGAGAGCACGTAACTTTGTTATAAAAAATTAAACTTTCCAACACCCTATATCCCTCTCCCTCTTATATTTTCCTCTTCTACTTTTATAATCCCCCTCTTTCCTTCACCCTTATCTTCTCCCTCTCTTGACTTTTCCTTTTTCTCTCTCTTCTAATTATTTTATGTGATAATCTCTGTTGCTCTAATGTATTCATTTTTACTTTTAATATCGATACAATGATATGTTCTGGAGTAATAGCTTTGCAAAGATTATATTTAAACATACAGATTCAAACCAACAGCAAAGTTAGAAACGCTTTAAAAATAAGCTTGTCAGCAGTAGAAAGAGAGCTGTTTGTAGCCAGCAGGTGAGCTGGAGAGTACTACAGGGTGTGGTAGAGATAGTAATAAATTAACTAGCAAGCCAAAAACTATTAAAAAAAATCAGCTATTTCATAGCATAGAAGCATGACAGCTATGAAAAAAGGAGTGCCCCAGGGAATTCTTTTAGAGTTTGATTTTTTAAAATATGTTTGACATGAAAAATGTTTTAGTACAAATAAAGCAACTGGTATTAAACTTACAGAGAGGGGGGTTTTGTGGTTTAGAGTTAGTATGAATAATGCATGATATTTAAAGAAAGAATAGCTCTAAAATGTTCCGGGAGGCAGTCCATGTTGATAGTTGGAATGGTGATTTTTTCCACCCTATTTTTGAAGCATCATTAATTCAGCATCGTTTTGTGATTTTTTTAACATGATCAGATATCAACCAAAGAAATACTATTTGACTTAGATAGGAATATTCTTTCATCCGATAATTTAGTTTAAATATCAAGGAGATCAGTGGAATTATTTAAGCATAAAGCGACAGTCACTTACTATAAAAAATAATTTGGCCTAGTTAACTTTTTTAAAAAGCTCATGCAGCACTGCAAACCAAAATCAACCTCATGGAAGGGGAAAAACAAGATCAGATATTTTGAACATTACTCCATAGGAGACCAGCACAGCATAGTGCTAGTGAGTGCATTGTAGCAGCGCTCGTATGCAATCAGAAGCCAATTGTTACTGGACTGCACACGAGCACACACTGTGCTCAATGGTCTGATGAGGTATTATGGATATGATGCAAAGAGACTGTGCAGATCAGAAGCTAACAATTTGTTAAAAGTGAAAGTGACTTAACATGTACATTGGGCCAGCTGAGCAGCACTTCGTGTGGCAGGCAGGATGCGTCCCAGGGAAGCAGGGGCATCAGGAGGCTCCAGGTATTGGTGTCCATGCAGAAAAAAACAAAGAGGTTTCGTTGCTTTCCAGTTGACTACCGCTGTTACTGCGATTCTTTCTACACCGTCTCTTCATTATACATTCCGTTTTCAGTGTGGAAAAGTTCATGCAAAACAGCATGATTATTATAAATGTCAAAAATGTGTGAAGGAACAGCCTATTAAAATATAGCCTAGAAATAGCGCACGACACTGACTTTAAATGAGTGGCCGGAGCCCAAGCGATGCTCCATTTAATCACGGATATTGTGTGATTTGTCCACAAGTATTCATTTTGACCTCAGTTACCACGATCACAATACAGTCCTCAGTGCTTTCTCTTGGTCCCTCAGGTCGCTGCACACAGCCTGTGCTCTTAGGTCACCGTCGGCACCTCTGTCCCCCTATTTAGGAGAGGCCTGGAGTCAGAAACACGTTAGGATGTAGCACTGACCTCTGCTGAACCATGCTTAATATTTTCCGAACTTTAATGGAGATATTCCATGTAAAACATGTGGTTATGAAATCACATCATCAAGGAGGAAGTGATAAGTACCTAGAGTGCATGGTTCTGTACTAGGCTCCACAGAAGTTAATCCAGAAAAATAATGCGTCCACTCCCGTTGGGATACCAGGCATTTCACAGAATGTTGGCAGATAAGATGAGTTTCCCTCTCACTGCTATCAATGAAAGAAATTGCACTTTAAATTTTTTTCTCTATTTTTTTAATAAAGTATAGTTTAGGGTTATGGACAGTCAACAGATCACAATCTTTTTTGGGCTCTAACGCTCTGCCTTGCTTACCAAGCCAGTTTTCGTTGTTAATACAAAAGCCTTAATGCTTTCTTAGTGAACGGAGTGTCAGCCTGGCTTTAAGATATTTTTTTACCCTTAAAAAAATGATGTATTACAAGATTTGTAATGGAGTGAACATGCTTGAATTGCACATTAAATTTTTTTTAACATCACATTCATGTTTTGCCAGTTTGCCTACCAGCTATCTGTTAACAAAAAGTTCCAAGGCAGCACTGCAAGTCTGTGCCCAACGAAGCCTTTTGTTTCTGCAGATGTTTGAGCTTAGAGCAACGTTGTAAAGCTCAGGCAATCCCAGGGCCATGTTTGTACTTGTCTGCTGCGATTCCCTGTGCATTGTCTAAACCTGTACGCATTGTTCTTTCCGACAGGTGATAACTACCCCGTACAGTTCATTCCATCAACAATGGCAGCTGCTGCCGCTTCGGGCCTCAGCCCTTTACAGCTCCAGGTAAGTGCCAGAGGAAAATGTGGGATGCTCGCCAGTGCTCTAGTGGAAAACTGCTAACCAGCTGTATGCTAAATAATGGCCCGAATGTTAAATAATTTTTTAAGCATAGCCTAGGAGGATTAACACCTTATGTACTTGCCATACTGCAAATAGAAAAGTGCCAGTTTCAATATTTTTAAAGGAAAAATGACACGATGACTTAGGACTTTATATTCTCTATCAGGTGAGTTAATGGTTTGACAATTTCTTTATGGCTGGTTGTTATTGGCTGCATTAGCTTTCTCCTTGTCAAGTTTCCACCCATGTCTTAATTTATGTCAAATTAGCTTTTACATATAAGCATCAAAACAGAGAACAGTGTTGGATATTTTCCTTCTAGCAGCTCATAGAACAGGGGGTCGTCATTATTACCAAATTACTTTAGCTACTTAGTAAAATGTAAACATATTGCACCTGAGCATGCGTATCGTCACCTCATCCTCTTCCTCATTCCAGGTTGAAAGTCTGGGCATGGTGTCTGACCAAGTTCTTTACTTAAAAGCTAAACTTGGGGGAAAGTGTTTAGGAAGCTGAATGAAAAATCATCTGCACCTTGTCTTCACATTAAAATGAAGGGTGTACAGTAGGGTGAGGCAATCTTTACACCCTTCCAGTACTGCCTTTTAGTGGGAAATTGACTGTAAATGAGTATGCATTTTTAGCAAAAAGATAATATTAAAATAATGGTTAAACCTTCAGAATTTAAACATCTAAAAAGTATGATAACAACCAACTTTCATTTCAATACAGTGGAGAGTTTAAAGATAGTATTTTATTCTTATAATTTATTGTGATTATTTTTTATTTTTCTTAAATAATCTAGGAAATAGCACCTGGCTAGGCATTTTACTTTCTTCTTTGCTATTCCCTACATAACCTCAACATTAAAAAATGTACAAGTATTTTACCATGAAAAAAACATTATTTTGACCGTTTTCAATTGGGTCTTCAAGTAAGAATTTTTGCAAGACTTTGAGTGTTTATCCTAAGCCTCATCCAGAAAGCCTTGTTATGGACTGCCCAGCAGAACTAAAAGTTTTGCCTATAAGAGTGGCAACCCTACCTCTCTTCCAAGCCTCCCCCTTCCCCACTACTAACGCTGGAACTTGCTGAAATTGGTGAACTCTAAGAAAAGCCTCACTACCAGGAAACCTAATCTACTTCTCCTTTTTAGATAGCTATGCTATAGAGTGTACCCTTGAGTCAGAGGCAGGGATAAGAATCAGTCCCATTGTTTGATCTTAGAGCCGAGTTTCTGTGAAGGAGCATCTGGGTCCTAAACCTTCTACTTTCTATGCTTTGGTGTGGTCAGTACCCTGGGTGTAGAAATATGTGTTCTGTTTCATGAGTTCTGACAGTGTGTTTTGTCTTTTTTTTTTTTTTCTGAATACGCTACTAAACAGAAGGGTCATGTCTCCCACCCACAAATTAACCCAAGGCTAAAGGGCCTAAGTGACCGTTTTGGCAGGAGTTTGGACACCTTTGAACATGGTGGTGGCCACTCTTACAACCACAAACAGATTGAGGTATGAATACTTCCATTGGTGCTTCATTGGGTGGGGGACTGGATTGTTCAGTCATATTATAGGCTTTCTCAAAAGTGGCAAACACAAAACCTAAACACTACAAGATAATCATTTCCTACTTCTGATTCCTAAGGAGGCTCCTTTTTGCTCCTTTTCTTTCATAAAAAAAAAAAAGCAGATGTCGAACCAATGCCCCTGAATTAGGTTGTTTATTCCTGTATATGTATTTAGGCATTTTTTTTTATATTATGTGTGTTTTCAAACCATCTTTATTTTCTTTACTTATTATTACTTTTTTAAATGTATAGTGATGTATAATGTTAAAAAAACACTTAAACACTACAAAAATCTCATTTGACCACATAAAACTCTGTAAAGTTGATAGAATATGGTTCCACTTGTACAGATAAATAACAGAGGTTCAGAGAGGTCAAGTTTTTTAACCAAGGCTACAAAATATTCCTGAGTCAAAGTTTTTACCTAGGATTTTTTTTAACTCTACCTAATTCAGGTTTCTTAACTTAGTTTTCTCAGGCTGAAGTGGGGATGGGTGCCTGGGCCTGGCTGCTTGCTTTTTGCCCCATAAATTTTGATAGTATTCCTTTTGTATTTATCTTCCAGTAAAGCTCTTAGTTAGTTACTTAGTTTGTTTTTTGGTGTGTATGTGTGTGTGGTATTCTTACTACTTGGGAGAAGATGGCTTATATGTCTCTTTTGAAAACCAAGTCCTTTTCTTCTACAGGGATCTAGTTCTCTAATTTCATGCTTAATTCCTTTCCTATATCATTGGTGTTC